GAGGTTCAATAGCCCACAGGTGTCCAACTATGATCATAAAGGACTTATTCATAAAATCCTACAGATCAAGACATAACTGTCCTTTATCATAAGCAGAAGAAGACTGAGGAACTGCAAGGGCCTGGGGCTTCAGCAAACAGAGGACAGACAACACAAATATAAATTGAAAAGCAAAAAATTTATTTATAATCTCTTTAAAACAGCAAAAGAAATACACATTGAATATCTGTTATAAGGCTGAACAATCTGAGGCACAAGAGAACCCCCAGACTCAGAACGACTCTTGGAACTGTAAAATCAACTACAATTGCAGAAGATCAGCAGCAGGATTTCCTGCCATTCTGAGACAACTGTAAACACCAATATAATGAAAGTCCTACATGTGCAAGTCCAGCATTTGGCTTAACACAATCTTTCTAACCGTTAAATGCCATCAAGCTTCTACAAAAGGTGAGGGCCCCTGCCAAAAAGTTACCCTTGCTGTATCAAAATGTAAATATTGACCTTATGCCAAGGAAGATCTGTCTCTAATGGTTAACATTCCTCATGATCCAAGAATCAAACATAATATGCACATAACATAATATGCAAAGCTCCCACAGCAGTTCTAAAGTCAGGGCAAATTTATATGAGACCAAGACGTTCTTAAAGTAAGAAATACACCCAGAAATTTTAAAAGGTTAACTAATTCAATTGGAATAAGATCAGAGTTACATTGTGGAATTGGCAGCCCGGCTGCTCCATTTGAACCAGTTTAAGTTTCTAAAGGGAGATTTTTAGCTTCATTGTTCTTAAAAGGGAAAATAATTTTCCATGATTACATTAACAACTGCTTTCAACATAAGGCAGTCTTGCATAATGACAAGATGCTTACAAATCTGGAACTTTATTTTGTTATAGACTCAACAAAATGCGACTAAACTGCTTTCAGGTATATGTATGACTCTTTAATCAGTGCTAGGGCGGGGTGGGGGGTGGGGGGGTCACTAAATTTAATCTGAGATACTAAAGTATGCATATTTTCTCAGTAGCACTCACCAATCACTTTGATCTTGAAAGAGCAGCATGCCTCATTGCCAGCTCTGTCAGTTGCTGTATACGTAATGTCAACTTCTCCAATTGGGAAAAGGTAAGGTGGTATAAACGCCGGAGTAACCTGAACTAACACCTGTAACAGGACCAGCCTTAGTAAGGGTAGATGAAGTACTAAATAGTGAATTCTTAGGAAAGACTGAACTTAAATACCAAGAACCAGTCATCTCTATTGTCAAGGGAGAAGAAATTGAGGTTAAGCATGGATTTCTTCCTTGCCAATGCTCTCAGGTCCTCCTTAAATCAAAGATGATCTTTGGACAAAACGTTGCACTGTGACACATTGATTAAAAAGCAATCTCACTGCTACATAAAATACATTAAACTTGCATTTAAGAAAGATGAAGGCAAGTTACTTGCACTGATGCTTTTATCCATGCAGCTTTTATATTAACCAACACACATTAAAAAAAAACCACTTTTCAACAAAAGTAAAACATTTTCTTGTTCTGTCATTATCTTCCTGTACTGATACACTAGACAGCAGACATTATACAATTTCACATGACTCAAATCAAGGGCAAAAAGGAAAATTTTGACTTAATCATTGCAATTAATGTAGTAATTTCTGAAAGTTCAAAGCTTACTTATGTTATTTCAGTAATGAACAACATACATACTGATGCAAAACATAGTTTACATTCTAGTGTTTGCTTACCTCATCTCTAGAATTATCAACTGCATCTGGAACCTGCCAGCTAATATTTGCAGCATTCTGGCTTTCCAGAGTTGATGCTTCAATATCACTTGGACAGCTAATTTGGGGAGGTTCAATGTCTGCATAAGATACATAAGACAAATTTGAGTATGTGCATTAAAAAGCATTTTAATTATTTTAGGAAAAATGATCTATTGAAAGGCACCTATTTTTCTTCCAAAAGAGAATTGTGTCTGTAAAATTCCCCACATATACTGAGGTTACCATTCACAACCTGAACAGAGCTTTCTGAAATTCAGTTCCACTATTTTTTTATTTTAATGTAAGAGCAGTCTTTATACTCTTTTTTTAAATCATACGTCAATAAAATTTTGTCTGCTTACAGAAGTGGGAATTACGTCTATAAACAATAATTGCTTATAAATTACTAACTTCATGACAAACAACAAGAATCCCACCATCCAAGCAGCTCTGCAGAAATAGCTACAGGATTTGCATTCTATGTTTTTGAGATGTGAGATCACCTTACAGTAATTAGAAATAATCAGATTTTGCTTTGGGACCACTTCTTAAGTTTTAAAACAAAGCAACAATATTGATTATCAGCCATTAAAAAAATGGAAAACATGTACAGTATTTTTGAAATGTTGAAAACATTTATTATTATTTTTCTTTAGTTGTATGTTATGGCCAATGCTGTTAAAATCTCTTCAGTTCTGCAGCAAAAACTTTATCTCCCTGGCATGAAGACCTTTTAAATTTTGCAATTATTGTATCAATGATCTCCATTTCAATTAGGCAAGAATGTACATACATAATTCACCTCACACATTATTGATCTAAAATCCAATTGTATCACAATATACATATGATCAAATGTGTAGCAGGGTTCATAATTTCCCTAGTCAAAAAAGAAAAACATCAATTCAATTTAAACTGCATTGTGCTTTTGGCAAAAGTGCTGATATTAAATGGCTTAACTAATTTGATTTCCCTTCATTCTTAAATTGCCCAAGGAACATTTGGCCCAATTGGAGTCAAATATTCCAATTCAGCTTGTCTGTTTAAAATGGATGCTATAAAAACCAAATATCAATTGATAAAGACCTGGGAAGGGATTCTGAGAGACAGAGAAGGTAAAGGACAGGAAGCTCAGCCCAGGAGACTGGAGAAAGATTGTACAAAATAAAGTTATGGCCAAGGAAACCCAAGGTTGGGATACAGTGAAGTCCTCTAGACATAAAGGGGAATGTGGAGGAGGAATTGAAGCAAAAAAACTGGCTATCAAACAGAGAGCGATGAAGAACTGTTACATGAACATGTACAGAACTCTTACAACTGTAAGATGAAGAATGGGTCATGCTCTAAAGCAGTGTTTTCCAACCTTGGCAACTTTAAGATGTGCAGACCTCAACTCCCAGCATGAGGAATTGCTGGCTGGGGAATTTTGGGAGTTGAAATCTGCACATCTTAAAGTTGCCAAGGTTGAAAAACACTGCTTTAAAAGGTGTGCAAGGGAGGTTGGCTCAAGAAACTGGGCAAATAAAATAGGCAGCAACCTGAAAAGCCAAGTAAGCTCTGGGTAGTGAAGACATGTGTAGAATAGATGAGATCTAGAACATGCAAAACTGCCTTAAGCCAAGTGAGATCACTAGACCGCTACTCTGGATTTTAACTACTCTATAACACCTGGATTACATTTCTCTGCAATTCTGCAAGGCCAAGTCCATCGCAGAAGTTAGTGCGTTCAAGCTTAATTGTGATTTTGTGCTATTTCACATGGGCTAAAAAGGTAATAATGTCTAAGATTAAGCCTATTACAAATGTAATATTTTACCACAGCTAAGGCTAAAAAGGGAAGGAGGAAATCACATGACTCATCCTTTAACTAAGGCATTAAAAAGCATTATTTCTGCTACATGCCAGACTTAAGTCTCATAAATTTATGTGGCTTTTAGCTGAAATAAATAGTGCTACTACAAAGCTATAATTTCTGGCCAATATTTATACTGTATACTGGTGAAGCTTTACTTCTATTACATCTGGCTTTATCCATTTCAGTTTTGTCTCCCTCAAATAACAATGTAATTTCACGTCAAACCACCAGCATAAGACTCAAAAGGTAGGTTATGAAATGTTCAAACTGTTTCGATATCCTCCATTCACTTAACATGTGCAAAAAAAAAAAAGATTTTCTATTCGTAATACTATTGCTAATTACCTCAATCTTGGTTTCTCTAATCTCAACATTATTATTATATAGTTCTTCAAAGCTTTTTTTAAACTCTTCCCTTTTTTACCATAGCAAATTATTGTCAAAATCCATACCTTTACAAAAAGCTTTGTGCACATTTTCACTCCATTTTCCAGTGTTTAAACACCTCAGTTCTTCTCTAACACCAGACAAAAGGAATCCACTTGGACAACTGAGACTGCACACAGTTCTGTATTTTGATCGTTCAAGCCCACAAATATAAGGGTGAACAATAATACTTTTTGGGGTTTGGAAGGCAGGGCAATGCAACTCTAGAGAAAGGAAGTATATTACTATCAACATGTACAAATGGAAAAGATATTTCATATTTTATCAGTCAACAGTACAAATGTAGATGTTTATATCAAAACTTATATAAATGTTGCATATGAAGTGTAAGAGAAAATCAACATAATCAAGTCAGAGGGAAGAACCGCTGAAAGCCAGCAATATGATATTTCTTTATAAGATGTTAGACATCCTCCCAAATCATTATGTTCTACCTCCACAAAAAAATCTGTTGCAGCTTTCTTTGGGGTCTGGCTGAAATGGTCCTTTAAATCCTCCCCAGAGAATCTTACAAGGGAATTGAAGGCTGCAAACCTTCTGGAGATCAGTTGGCAAGTTAATACGAGCAGGCGGGAGTGATAGGAGATAGTAAGTTTGAACTAATTTCCATGCCTGCTTATTCCATCTTCCTTTGCACTGGCAAACACCAAGTTACATTCTGAAAAACTGCCCTGCATCATGACCAAGTTTTTTCCTTATGTATTCCCATTGCCTCCAATAATCACTAGATGAGAGGGAGTGAAGAGACATTACAGGGGACTTCTTATTCTTTATCTTGGAATGTAGCCAGCAACTTTGGAATACTGAGGTCTAAGAAGGACTTTATTATAAAATAGATATTTTTTACACACCTTCCCATATTGTAATGGAACTGCTACACTGAATCAGGCAATTTTTAATACAGATAACCTAAAATCCAGCAATAGCTGATAGTTATTAAAAACAACAGTAGAAATGAAATATATTGTACTATCCAGGGCCTTATGCTTATGCTCAGCCATTTCTGATCTGTGAAAAAGTTTTGCCTTGCTGTTTATGTGTAACTTACATCAGCAGATTTCAATCTAACATGAAGTGGATATTGAAAATAGATTATTTCAATGAAAGCTAGATTTTAGACAGCATCTGCATATCATTTCTCATCAATCTTATTTTTACATATTTGTGTGTGTGTGTGTATAATATATATTATATATATATTACACACACAAGTCCTCATTTAGCGACTGCCTTGTTTGGTGACCATTCGCAATTATGACAGTGACGAAAAAGTAACTTTGTGACCAACCCTTGCATTTATGACCTTTGCAAGTCTCTAAAGCAAAGAAAAGCTGAAGTAAGATCGTAAAATCGTGGTTTCACTTAGTGACTGCTTCGCTTAACAACCAAATTGCTAGTTCAAATTGTGGTTGCTATGCGAGGACTACCTGCTAATTAACAAGTTAATTACTCTAACTTGTTATAGTTTCTACATTTTTATAACATACAGTAACTGGCAATTAAGTTTTCAAAGTTTCTGGAGTACTGGAAGCTTAAAACCAGAACTACTACTTCTGAGTTGTACAGTTCTAACAAGAATCCATAGTTCTCTTATACCAACATATATCCTATGTAATACATTTTAAAAAAATGATCGTGGAAGAACATAAAGGAAGGTTGCAAAAGTTGTATGGTAAGTTATATAGAAAAAGCAATCAAATATTTTGTTAAAAATAAAGGGAACTAAAGACATGTATTTATGTTTTGAAACATACCGACACATTTTGGTTCCTTCCCATCCCACTGTGAGTTGCCTTGACAGGTAAGCTTGGTGTTGCCTTCCAGTTCATAGCCTTCATTACAAGTGAATAAGCACACCGTCTTGTAAGAGATCTCACTTAGTGAGCAATTAATACGGCCGTTTTGAGGGGTTGAGAATTTGGGGCACTTGCGAACTGCAGAGGTTAAAATACGTATGTTAGCATTTTTACTAGAAAGTAGCTGAGTAAGAGATACATATCATGTCTATCTTTTCTGTAAATATACCCACACACCTCAATTAGACTGTATGCAACAGAATTAGAGCGAAGATAGGAATATTATTCCTCCAACTCCAATGGACTTTGGATCTTGGGAGATATTCACAGGATAATAACTGCAGTAGAGATCCATAGCTATCGATCTATATTACAGTTAATTATTATCCTGGGAATATCAGACTGTCAGGTAGGACAAATATCTTACCTTACAGAATTATTCCCATACCTAAGATCCTAGAACCTGGATAGTGAGAACAAATCTCACCTTTTTTCCCACTACTTTATCTCATTAGCTGTCTACATCTGCCCTTGGCATATTAGAAAAAAATTCAAGCTCTTTACCTACTCTTAGTTATATTCCTTCTTTTTTTGCTCCCTAGCTCTGGTATGTTCTTTTTCTTTCTTGTAATTTCTTCTGTTCTTTCTTGTAATTTAAAACACATATGTGAATCTTAAGGTCTTTTTAAATTAGACTTGCTTCTAGAGTACCTGGCACTTCACTTCTTGGGGAAATGATAAAAATAATGCATTAAACTGACTTTAGTTTCATATAAATTTGTGGCAAAAGATGCTTTTGAAAGAGGTATCTTTTAATTCTGAAATGAAAGAGGACAGTTCAAAACCCGGTTCCTTCCTCTTCCAAGCAGAGTCCCTGGGTCCAAGAAATGTCAGATGAAGTCATAAAAAGCAAACTTCAAACCTTCCTTTAATAAAAAATCCAAGAGTTTAGAAACCTGGTAATCTTATTTTAAGGTACATCAGGTCAAAAAAAGGCTTGCCCCATAGTGCAAGGAACATCAAGCTGCATTCAAGGTAAGAAAGTATCCTCCCCAAAGGGAAATCTTGTTCAAATGAAAGTGAAAATGCTGGTCAGGTTCAGTAAAACAAATAAGTAAGGCAAGCATGATTTGACTTCAAGCAACGAGCCAGAGAGAGGATTAAAGAGACCCAAGCCTCAACACAAGAATGCCTGCTTAAAGCACCACTGGAGTTTATCCCAACCCCAACCCCTCCCCAAAGCTGATGAATGTCCTGAAACGTTTCCAAGTACTTTTAAGAGATTTTTCTGGGAAAGCGCTCATCGGTGACTTCTTTACAAGTGTAGTTTTTCACTATTACTTCAAAAGAGAATGGATGTTTTTCACGGAAACAAAATGTTTCAGGAGTCAGGGTTTAAGAAAAGATTGTGCATCTTCATCTTACATCATCTGGTGTAAGATAATGATGCACGATTTTCTGCCATGTCGCAACAGAGACCAAACATTACCAAAAAAAAAAAAAAGGGTTAAGAAAGAAACAAAGGAATTTGTTTTTCTTAGTTTCTTGAACACTGCCAGGGTGAGCGGAAAGAACCTCCATGCCCTGAACTTACAATCAGCTTTACAATAAATGAGCTGATGACATGTTAAAGATGTGCCAGTGCTAGAGCACTGACAAAGGCAAGTAGGTCATCAAAGATAGGCAGATGCCCAATATTTGAAAGTACAGATAGAAGAGGTATCTACAGAGAGAAGGTTAGAGTCTTTGGCGAAGCCCTAGTCTCTGGGGAGGCACTGGGCAGAAGACCCCCAAGAGAGGTTTTTCCCCCAATAGAGACATAGACACGGATTGGTTTAGTGGATCCAAGGAAAGGAGATGAGCAGTGCTGAGCAGATTCATTCGTAAATCCAGCACATTCTTTCCTTTTACTCTCATGATAATCCTGGAAACAGGGGGAGGGAGAAGGAGTGAAGGGGGAGGCAGTGAAGGAGGAGAGTTAGAGGAAAGTAGTCTCTGGGAGAGAGACTTAAGAAGAAACCTGACACTGGGTAGAAGCTGGGATCTTGTTGTAAATACCTTCTGTAAATAGTTTTGCTGTAAATAGTCAAGAAGAAGCATAAAAGCCTCCACTGTCTTGGGTCCTCTGTGTCAGTTGCTATCCTTGTACTCCTGAATACACATCCAGTTCTAAAAGAATCTAGTTATGCTGTGACAATTGTCTACATTGGTTGATTGATGTTTTGTTATATACTCAGATTTTGGAAGTACTGGTTGAAATATATGTCAGATTAAAGGGGGGAAGATTATTGGTACAAGCAGTATTTTCAAATTTCTACTGAATGTTTATTCTCTGATTAATTCATATGTCAAAAATAAAATTAACAAACCCTGCTCCATTCGTTTAGATCATGATAGGCAATTTCCTTGTCCAGAGCTCAATATAAAAATTAGTGATAGGTTGGGGCACAGGCAATCAAGCCCCTGAGTACAAATACACACTAAACAGTGTTTTCCAATGTTGTTCATACTTCTAACACATAGAGAGACATGAAAATGGATATACAATATTTTCCTATCCACACATAGTATAGAAGAGTTCATGAGGAAGGTGAAGTTTTAACTGTGCCAATTCTGGTCCTAGTGCATTTAAGATTACTGCTCGGTAATTCCCTCTCAAACAGTCCTTTTGGGAGAACTAACCAATCACAGAAAATATTTCCTAAGCTATCCAGAATTAAATGCCTGAAATTTTCTCTCTGGTCACTTGATCGTATATCTTTAAAGTTTGGTTAAAATATACATGCATAAAAAGTAGTATTCCAAATATGATCAATTGCAGATAAAACTGATATTTTATACTCAATATCAATTCCACTAGGCAGGGTTACATGTACTACAGGCGTGTATGGGTGGAGTGCCATATCAAGCAAACAAGACAGAAAACAGCACCTTCTTCCCGACTAGAAAGTTTTTAAAAAAGCCAACCCAATAACAGAGAGGCAACTGTTCTTCCAGGATAAAACGTCCTACCTCTGCAAGTTGTCTCTGAACCAGACCATACACCATTTGGCTGGCAAAGTCGTATGCTACTCCCAACAAGATCAAATCCTGTTTTACATCGGATTCCACAAGCAGCATTGAAGTAATTGTTGCAGACATTCTGGATAAAATAGCCATTTTCTGGAGGGTGCAGCTCAGGGCAATGGACCACTAATTAGAATACACAACAGTAAAGACATGGTTATAATGATTCACAGCACATTTCTATTGTATTCAGAACTTCTCCTGTATCATTAACATTGACAAATGTTAAGCCAAAAGATTGTTTCTACCTCATTAGTGTTAAACAGAAAAAGGGCATTCAAAGTGTGTTCCTAAGAATCTTGAAGTTCTTGGAAAGCTCCTGAATGTACCTTGGTAAGAATGCAAAAAATGAAAGAAAACTGCCTAAAATAAATTTTGCCTACCCCTTCTATGCAGTGTATAGCCATGGGCATCTGCAAGGGCGATGCAAATTGGCAATACAATACACTTGAGGAAATCACCATACAAATGAGGTGACATACATACTAGGGTCAGATGTTCAGAAACAAGTCTGTAATGGGACATTTCTGTGATGACATCATCACATATGTGTCATCATTTGGTGTTATTGTGGTTTGCCACATGCACTTCTGGGCACAGCCACTGGAAGGAATTTTCATCACTCTAGGCTTCAGTAACTGACATGAAGGAACAATATATCTTTATGGACTTTATGGAAGTATAAACTGGATTCCAGGTGGACAAACTGGTTTGGAAAGGAAATTCAAATAGGAAATATTGCTCATGATGTTAATTTTTTAACTGAGCTGTTTCTTTAAGAAATTGCTTACCTTCACATGATTTACCTCTAGGACGATACCCTTCCTTGCATATACAGTCCTCAATAGAAGTACTTCCTGGTGGAGAAGTGTGATTCTCATCAGGACATGAGATGCAGGTGCTTATTCCACCTGGTGAACCTTCAGGCTTGTAGGTTCCAGATGGACAGGCTACAAAGTAAAATGTGTATAATAAAAGCAAGTTAGGACTAGACTAATAAAACATGTAATTATGCCATATCTGCAGTTTCACTCCCTAATTTCCAATACTGATGCCAAAGGCCCCTATGCATTTTATTCACAGCCTACATCAATGTGTTGCATGATACCTTTCCATCAAAATCAAGTCAGTCATTCTTTGGGAAAAGAAACTGATATGTAGGTAGGAAGTCTGTATTATGCAAACCCTTTTGTGCTTTTAGGTTTTATGTCTCAAATTAATAAATTATGTTTCTTTACTTCATCTTGTTCACCTGGTCCTGATGTATTATAATTTAAGTCTTCCTCAGTTACATTTTTAAAAACAATTTCAGTGTGAAGGGAAAAGCAATATAAAGAGAACATATTTAAGAGGTTACATATTAAAATGTTTCTATTCAGGGAACTTGATTAAAAATGGGAAATAATCCTTATATGTCATTTTCTTCCGTATCAAGTGCTAATAGCTGGTCACATTAAAGACTTTTGTATCTGCTTTGCTTTGCTGTAGATCCTTAAGAGCCTATTATGCTCTTTTGTACTATATCTTTATTTCGCAGAGAAAAGCTGCTACATCAAAAACATCAAGAGATTTACACCAGCAGCTGATCTTCTAGTGGAGAATTTCAAAGAAAAAAAATTACTCATTTGCTCAGACCAATCAGCAAAGCTCAGTGCATATATATAAACAAAAAGGCAGCAAAAAGCAATGGACAAACTTATTAATGAGATCTGGAAATATGGTTCACACAAGAAAATAAAAATTTTAACACATATACAATAACATAATGAAATATTAAAATTTCACAATGAGTGAAGTCCAAATTATCCTACCACCTGTCTCATAATAGCTTTTTATTAAAATGAACAAAACAAGTTAAAAACTAAAAAACAGAATTCTAAAAAAATAACAAATGAATGTAATATATTAGATAAAATATAATTAGGAAATGATCAGATTTGAATAAACTATACTTGATTGATATTTTATTAGTTGGCCAAAGCAAATTTCCCACTTTGACTTAAGCCCACCCCCTGCAAAAAAAGAATTGCAAAGTGTTTTGTAATAACAAACCTAGGACTTAGATGATTTTTTAAAAATGCTGCATTTTTATAAAGGGATGGCAATAACACCACAAAAGATGATTTTCATTATTCAAGTTTGTTGGATGATTTTCCCAATTTCCTCACAAACTTTTGACTAAAAGTTAGGAGTAACTAGGCATTCCTACAAAATAGGGTAATACAGGCAGTTATGCAAGAGTTCTGTTCTAGGAATTCATGAATAAACTATTTTTTTTTCATGTTAGATTGTGTGCTGCACTTGCACAAAATGGAGGCTGCTGTTTTGTAAATCTATACAAATCGTGGTCACAGTTTTTGCATCCTTGCATTAAGATGGATTTACCCAAGCCAGGGCTTTTGTAATCCAGGTTCTGGCAGTTTACAGATTGTTTAACACTATCTAGAAAAATTACAATTTATTTAATGCAATTTTAGCAGAACATAGCATCAGTTTGGATTATCTTCATGGGCTTGATGTTATGCTTCGATTTAAAAATAAACGTTACACTATAAAGAATGGGATTTATATTCAAGAAACTTTATATAAAATGGCAGAATTTATTCCAGATGAATTAATCCAAAATTGAATACCATCAATTTCTGGACTGACCCCATTATGTTTATAACCAACTAGCTAAAACAGATGCTGTAGCAGAAGATTTACTACATTCATCCCTATTTTACAGTGCAGTAGTTTTAGCAGATCAATCCCCATGTCTCTTTCTTACAAAATTTCATTCTATTGTACCCTTCCAACTTATTTTTTCATTTTCCCCAAAGGTTTTTAATATTCTGTGGCCATTCCACATAGATAATCATCACTACATTGCATTACCTTCACTTCCAGCTAGGATAATGCCCCCCACCCATCAAATACTGAAACATCTACAAATCTTAGAGTCCACGTTGCTAGTATGTCCCCAAATGGTGAAGTTTTGGCTATGTAAACACAGACATTCAGAGCACATTTGCCATTACAATCCTCATAATCAAGGGGTTTTGATACTCCATTCATGAGGCATAGCTGCTTGGCTTGGTTGTGAATGTTACTGGCTGTGGCTAGATGTTCTGTAACTTTCATCTACCTTTCTATTGATTCTATAGGGGTGTTATATTGTTATTTAGATTTCACTTTGGTTAAGAAGTTTCAGAAACAGTTCTGCCATATATTGAATTATCACACATCCCTTGGATTCAGCAACAGCAATACGTCAAAGAGCAAAACCTTTTAGCAGCATAATGACTTTAATTCAATTGTAAATTACCAAATGTGAGGGTGAGCTTATGTCCTATAATTCCTTTGCTTTGAAGTTCATTGATTTTTAAAATAGTACCAGACTGTACAGAGAAGACTGACTTTAAACTTTTCAGGAGTCTTTCTACAAATAGACAGCATATCCTTGAGAAAGAAGTTAAACAGTTCTAACATGCTAGCATTTCCATGTATTCATTCACAATGCAAACTGAGACCCTTGAAGAACGGTGCTCAGCAAAAGAGGCAGTGCCAAGAATACTGGCTTAACTTTTTTGCTACTTCCAAGGACTGGAGGAAAGAATCTCTGAAAGTGGCTCTCCTTGTCTGAGTATGTCATTCTTCTCTTTTCCTCTACCATGTGGAAAGAAAGCTCAGAGATGCAGGTTTTCTATCACAGCATGCATTTTCCTTGAACTTTACTTGCCCTTTTGGATACTGAGCATCACCCTCAATTTACAGTAGTTTTAATAGGATTGTTTCTAGGAATGTATGCCCTATTAAATATTCATTACAGTGAATGAACTGGAAGGTTCCAACTGGGATTATTTCAAGTTTCCCTACAGAAATGTTCAAATTGTCTATTTGTAAAGGAAAAGAAATTACTTTAGAATTTTGATCTTCATATAAATATTCTCTCATTTACACTAATTTTAATTTTTCAAGTAAACTATAAAATAAGACTGATATGTTCATATCAAGACAGAGTGAAAGTGAATATATCATAATATGTGACATAAAAGGCTTATTTCTGTGGCCTGGAAGCACATTCCTTATTTTTGTCATGCTCAATTAAATCATCTAACTTGTGACTACTAAGAAAATAAATATTTTAAATGCCACATGTCTAGAAACATTTGTAAGCCAGCTGTATCTGTGTCTCTAGAGATTGGAAATATTGATTCAAAGCAACATAAACACTTGTTGAAAAGCTTATTTATGAAATCAAAAGAAGTTACTGAAGCCATGGGAAATTTTTGAGAGCATGTTGCAGTCAACGTGGTTGTCATGCAATGGTGGCCATGGTGGCATGAACGGATATTTAAAAAAATGTCAGGTGTGGCATAAAACTTGGAAGACACCAATATACCAGGCTGGGCCAATAGAATTAAAGCCCCCCTGCAGAAAAACATCAAAACAGTAATATTTCAGACTCTTCAAAGGAAATTAGTAGAATAAAAAGCAGCGGCATAAGGCTCTATATGGAGAAACAATTCAGAAAAGGCTTATCTAATCAAAGATATTCATCAATGATTCTTTTAAATGGATAGCATAAAGTAATAAAACTATCTGGACCACTAAGCCAGAAAGTTCTGATTGGCATTTGAGAAGGACTTTGGATAAAGAGAAGGGTAATAAACCTTGGTTTTAATTAACTTGCAGCTACTTACATAAGAGCATAACTAACTGTCTTGATAACTATAGAATGGGAGCAGTCCATATGTTACCACAACGCCTCACTAACAAAGAGAGATGTAGGACATCTCAGAGACCTCTCTATTTCTCCAAGTATTGTGGGACTATTAGCCAACTAGAAGAGTCACACTCCTACTTATTACTACCTTGCCTATATTCTACCATAGGATGAGTTTTATTTCTTCTTCAAGAAACAAAGAAAAAAATAATCAAACGGTAATATGATCTAGTATTAAATGTCCTTTGGTTTGAACAGTTTTAAGATAGTGAACCATGAAAGTTTTTATTTTTCCAAGAAAGCTATTTGTAGGAGCAGAAGAATAAATATCACAGCACTTATTGCATAATTCATAATGCATTTCTTACGCAGATAATTCAAACTGTTTTTTTTAAATTAGGGTTGAATTTCCTAACTGAGTGCATGACCCCCTTCAAAGATTCAAATATGTATCTGCTTTCAGTCAGCGGGGCTAATGAAAATATTACTTTTCCATTCATTTTATGTTATAAATACACCATTTTTCCAGAGTATTGTTATGCCCTTTGGGACAAAAGTGAAATTAAAGGCCCATCAGTTAATGATAAAAATAGATTTTTTCCTAGTGATTATGAATGGCCTAAAGCTGACACTGAAACCACACCAACATTTCTAATTCTAGACATGCTCTAAATAAAGGCAGCATGCCAGTAGAACAAAATAATCATTAAGCTACTGATAAGAAAAATAAATTTAAAAGTTTGCTTTAAAAGGTTCTTCTGTGATTTTAGATGCTATATTATTTATGAAAAAAACCCACTAAAACAAAACAACATATAGTTTATTACAGAAACCACTGCCAATTTCTGCTGTCTCTCATTCAACAAGATAATATTTCCTGCAAAATGTTTCTCTGACATTTTCCATTGTTTGAGGTGCGTTAAACTTGTATGCTGAATAATTTCATGACCTATTACTGTGATTTAACTTGTTATTAACAGATCATATGTACTTTCTTCAGTCAGAACTGTAACTGAGATCCTATTTTTTAGAGGTTCCAAAAATCCAGATGACCAGTAGATGCCAGCAAAGAGATAAATAAAACTCTAACTCATCTAGAGGTCCTCTGGCAGCTTATCCTAAGTCCTTATCCTATGATTTTACTGTATCTGCAAAGATGTATGATGCTGAATGAATAAACTGGGAGTTTAACAGAAGGCAAGTGACCAGAGAAGCTATGTACTCTAGCACTACATGCACACC